GGTTAGGCCAAGGGAAGGCTTTTAAGATGTAAGAAATAATAGCATGTGTGCATGCTAATGGCAAAGATGCAGCAGAGAAGGACAAACCCGCAGGAGCAGAAGCCCCAGAATCCCAGCGGTCAAACCAGACGTGCATCAAACAGGTGCTTCGGAGCACTCCCCAGCCCTCACCTGTCCTCCCTAACAGCCTCTCCTGGACAGGTGGGTCTGAGTAGGGGGATCACACATTTACATTTTCAGATCATATATTACCAAAATCATCAGGACTTTTCTACTGAAAAACATAAACAAAGGAAAAATACAGCTTAAAACCTGCTGACACTTCAACATGATTTTTTAAACTGGGATCTAAAGATTGCTGAGGACTTAGGGTAATCCGTCTCAGGGATCCATGGATTATATTCTCAGTAAGCTATTTTTTGAAGGTGGTCAAGAACAAAATCCTTCCAGGAACTGCTATTAAACTATTTCAATCAATCTCCTTCCTTTTTATCTGGACAATCAAACTCCTCAGGCTGTGGGCATGCAGTACTCCCTCCCAGCAGCCCGTCCCCCTCATTTGTGCATCTGATCAGAATGTCAGCTTAAAGGCCTCCTCATTTGTGCATCTGATCAGAATGTCAGCTTAAAGGTCATAAACACGTGGTAACTACCCACCATAACTGACTCCTTAGACTTCTAGGTATTTCCCACCTCAACACTGGAAAACTGTTACAAATTCAAGCTTTTAGTATCTATAACATACACAAGGTTCTGGACTACTAGCTTCTCACATAAAAAAGAAAGAAAACATGAACATTCTAACTTAAAACTCCACTAATAACAGGATCGAGGGGTAAAGAATTCTAAAAATTTTATGCAATTTATGTAAAATAGAACAAACTCATAGTAACTTATCTTTATTACAGGGATTCATGTAATAATTGATTCAGTGACTCATGTGATTCAGTTCTGCTCAAAGAAACATGCAGTACTTCCCTATGAAGAACTAGCCTAAGCAGTTACACTGGGCTTTTACAACCCAATGAGGAAGAAAACAAGGCTGTGGTTGTGGACTCTACTCATAAAGTGAAAGGAGGAAGTGGCAACATTGTATTTGCATTTTCTAATACCAAGCAAGCACTTTTCCTCATCTCTTTTCTAATTTAACACTTTAAAATCTGCCTTCCTCTCTCACCACATCTAATCCTGTACCAAACATGATGTACCCTAAGGCTCAATGACCTTTTCTTCACTTCTACAAGCTGAACTTTTATACAAGAAATAGTAGAATTTAGCTGTTGTAACTGCTAAAGCTTGCTACTGTGAAATCCTATTGAAATGAATTAGAATAATACAGCTCTGTGAACAAACGGTCCTCGTCTCCACCACATACTTTCTCTCAAGAATTATTTCCTGATTAGCCCTATGCAATTAATGGTTTTCTTGCCCTATGTTTTCATACAGTTCAAACACTCTGTTTATTTGTATTACTCTCACCCTTTACAAAAGCCCATCAGTTTGAAGAGTTTATGCTTCTACAACAAAAAGAAACTACGAATTAAAAACTATGTGTTCCAGTTCTTCAGCACAAAGTTAAGTAGACACAGGTAGCCCTAATACAAAAACTGTCAACTTACCCGCTGGGAAATGAAACAAGTTCCAAAGACAATGTACTCACTCACAATGTAATTCAGAAGCATCCTCCTCTTTCATTCAGCAAATTTCGACTGAGCACCAGCTATGCAAGCTCTACAGTCCCTCCCCTGCTCAAAAATTGCCCATGATTCCTCAGTGCTACCAACTTCTTAGTCTGGCATTCAAAGTACAATTTCTTAGATACCTACATGCCAGGTTCTCCTAAGCACTTCTCATGCCTTTTCCTACATAGTTCCTTCAGCCAGGAAACCTCTCTCTACTGTAACTCAACATCTCTGAAAAAAACAAATCCATTGCCACTGAGTTGATTCTGAATCATGGTGACCCCATGTCACCATGTCACAGTAAAACAGTAATCTTAGGCAAATAGATTGCCAGGTCTTTCTTCCATGGTGCCACGGTGTGGATTTGAACTGCCAACCTGTCAATAGCTGAGCTCAAACCATTGATGACCCTCAGGAACCCTCTCACCACCGGTACATGTCAATTGTTAAGTCTCTATTGTATGTCAGCCCTATGAAAGGTTCCTGTAGATAGATTTTTTAGTTTGACTATATGAATAAAACTTTAGCTCCCATTAGTCACTAGTCACAATTGCCACTGATATGATCAGTAGGACGATAGGCCTGTAAACAAGTACTATATACTACAACAAGGAGCCTTGGTGGTACAGTGGTAAAGTGCTTGGCTGCTAACCAAAAGGTCAGTGGTTTGAACCCACTAACTGCTCCAAAGGAGAAAAATGTAGCAGTCTGCTTTTGTAAAGACTACAGCCTTGAAAACCCTACAGGGCAGTTCGGCTCTGTCTCATAGGGTTGTTACGAGTTGGAATCAAATGGACAGCAATGGGTTTGGTTTGAGCTTTGGTATATTATAGTTAAGGGCTGTAACTGAGGGATGTTCAAAATCCACATCCATAATGTGGATGTACTCTAGCCAGAAAGTCTATCTGAAGTACACAGGGGTAGGCAGAAAAGGAGGAATCAAAGAAACTTAAAATTTTATCAGGTCTTCAATGACAAAAATGAGTTTGGCCTATCAATCAAGTTCTGAGCACAAGGGCTTTGCTTACACTAGCTATTAAAAAAATTTTAATGAAACCAGCTTATAGACATTTCGGGGCAATGAGCAGAATGGCCAAGTTGTTGTGGTAGGATTAGGAAAAAGTGCAGAAGTCGGAGTTCTCCCAGGGGCCAGAATCCTCGATACATACTGACTGCCTATGGCTTTTTAGTTACTGGCTTCTAGGCACAGGATATCCTTTTCACGTGACCCGAACAAGATTCTTTCCTCTCCCACAATCTCTAATACCCTCTTTCCCCTTCCCACCACTCGCCACGATCCATTCCCTTATCTTTCTTCCATAAGGAGCATTTGCTTGCTCCTCTCTTCAGTGGTTACCCTGCCACTGCCACACCTGTAACTCTCCTTTAACTCCCCAGAAAAGTGTGAGTAATGAAGGACAAAAAGAATTCTAACTTCCTAATCCCTTCTTTGGGAACTCTGGTACCATAGTACCTAAGGCATTTGACTGCTAACCAGAAGGCTGGTGGTTCAAACCCACCAGCCACTCCTCGGAAGGACGACTGGGCAATCTACTTCCATAGAGATACCACTTGGGAAACCCAAGGAGGGGGTCACTATGAGTCAGATTGGACTCAATGGCAATGAGTTTGGTTTTTTGGTAATCCCTTCTTTAAGAAGCTCTGGTGGTGTAATGGTTAAGGTATATGGCTGCTAACCAAAAGGTTGGTAGTTCGGAGCCATCAGCTGCTCTATGGAAGAAAGATGAGGCAGTCTACTCCCATAAAGATTTACACCTTTGGAAACCCAATGGGCGTTGCTATGAGTCAGAATCAACTCCATGGCACACAGTTCCTTCTCTAACCTAGTACATTTCCTGGGCTGGAGATAACTGTTCAATACTTCACATGCTAAGAATAAACCAAAAACAAAAAAACCAAACTCGCCGCTGTCAAGTCAGATTCGACTCATAGCGAGCCCTCCTTGGGTTCCCGAGGTGGTATCACTACAGAAGTAGATTGCCCAATCTTCCTTCCAAGGAGCGGCTGGTGGGTTTGAACCACCAGCCTTCTGGTTAGCAGCCAATGCCTTATTCACTATGCTACTGCACTTTGTTTCTCTCTATCTTTCTCTGTGACTTTGGAGCTTCATACAATATACATATATCACCTACCCTTGATAAATAAAATCAGGGTGGAAAATGTCTGGGTTTACTGAAAATAAAACAAACCTGTTTATTTTTTTAAGAATAAACAAGTGTGTTTATTTTTTATTTTTTTAAGAATAAACAAGCTTGTTTTATTTTCAGTAAACTCATTTTCCACCCTGATTTTATTTATCAAGGATAGGTGATACATGTATATTGTACGAAGCTGTAACGGCACTAAGGAATACACAGAGAGAAGCAAAGTGCAGTGAATGAGGGCCTCCTCCCCAGAGGCCACCATTATCGTCTCTGTTTACCATTACCAAAGCAAGACTTCTACTGCCAACAGCAGGGCTCAGCCAGGTTCTGTTTTACAGCTTGTTTGCCTGAGAAGAGAAGCTGATCTGTGAACCATACAACTACACATAACAAGTCTATGATGAAACACATCATGAGCTCTAAAGAACATATTTTCAAAAGACTGTAGACACAGCCTGGTACCATGAAGAGATGGAACATGGCTTTCAGCACCTAACAGACCTGTGTCTGAATACCAACTCTGACACAAAGTATCATAGGAAAGGTTACTCCGAAGTTTGTTGTTGTTGTTATGTGCCGTCAGCCCCGACTCATAGCGACCCCTCCTTGGGTTTCCGAGGCAGTATCACTACTCAAGTAGGATAGCTTTCTTATATATAAAATAGCGATAGTGCTGCTTAACACATTAAGTTCTTACCATGATTAAATTAAAATACACACACACACACACACACATATACATATACACTGTTGTTGTTATTGTTATGTGCCGTCGAGTCGGACCCGACTCATGGCAACCCCTCCTTGGGTTTCCGAGGCAGTATCACTACGGAAGTAGATTGCCCAACCTTCCTTCCGAGGAGTGACTGGTGGGTTTGAACTGCAAACCTTCTGATTAGCAGTCAGGTGCCTTAGGCACTACGCCACCAGAGTTCCCATACATATACATACATATGTATGTATGTATGTATATATATATGCACTAAAGGCTTTCATTCCTCCATGCCTTTAACCTTATTTTCAGCTTTCTTTGTGGAATGCTTTAACTGCATGGAGAAAATTTTTATTTATTTATCCAAATTTCTATAGTGAAAATAACAAAATTTCTATAAAAGGTTTCCATTTACAGACTCAAAGGTTCTCTAACAATTACCTTTTGTTCCTCTCTTTCTGTTGCATAGTGACACTTTTCAATTCTCCAATGCCTCAAAAAATCACGGAGATATCCAAAGAGGGTGAGTACGCCATATCCCACATAAGTAAGTACAGCAACCAGCATTGGTGTTTCTTCAAAAGCTTCATTAAATGGTCTTTTATACAGTCCTCCATTTTGTGTAACATGATGGATCTAGAAGAGAAGTTTAAAATGCTTATTGCAACCACAGTAAGAAAAACATTTCTATTTAAAATCTAAGTCCTCAAGCATTTGTAAAACTATACCTTCAGACAAATATCATATTAGGTCATTACTGTTAAAAGTCAAGGAAAGGTTTAGATATGGAAGGAAATCCTTTGTTGGTTACCAGGGGTGGGAGGGGAGGAGAGGCAGCACTGCAAAAATGAAAACATAAAGTAATAATAATAATAACCTGCTGAATGGGAAACTAATTTGCCTTGCAAACTTTCACCTAAAGCACAATAAAATGTAAAAAAACAAAACTATACCTTCATTATTGCCAATCTGATGGCACCTAACAAAAACCACCTTCATTATTTAGTCAGTAATAGTCAAATAAAACACTAAGATCTAAGCAAGGCATGATTGTTTTAAAAAATAATAATTTTTAAGTTATGTTGTGGTTGTTATGTGCCGCCGAGTTGGACCCAACTCACAGGGACCCCTCCTTGGGTTTCCCAGGCAGTATCACTACGGAAGTAGATTGTCCAACCTGTCTTCCAAGGAGTGGCTGGTGGGTTTGAACTGCCAGCCTTCTGGTTAGCAGTCAAGTGCCTCAGGCACCACGCTACCAGAGCTCCTTTTAAGTTTTATGTTGTTGTTGTTGTTGTTATGTGCCATCGAGTCAAACCCGACTCATAGCGACCCCTCCTTGGGTTTCCGAGGCAGTATCACTACGGAAGTAGGATTGCCCAACCTTCCTTCCGAGGAGTGGCTGGTGGGTTTGAACCGCCAGCCATCTGGTTAGCAGACAAGTGTCTTAGCCACTACTTAACAAAAAAATAAAAAGAAGAAGAGGGAATGAGGACAGCCTAAGAACAATGTCTAACATTAATTTTTGATCATTATTTGATTTTATGCAATCATTCCTAAAATGTTCCGGTCGAAGAATTATCATTTTCTTTTGCTAATAAATTAAAAAAAGAATACACACACACATACACACACATAAATCAATAAACAAAAAGTCTATTCTGAAAAACAGCATGCTAGATTACAAGTGAAATGATCAAAAGTAAATTCAGTGTCAGTGCTAGATTATAAAAATAAATTATCTGTTAATGTTTTACTGCCACGCATTCTTGAAGCCACCCAGCCATAGTACTCCAAATAATTATCACACTACACCCCAGTGGAAACATCCGGTTCATACTAACCTTTGCTGTCAGTGATAACACAAATTATGCACAAAATTAAAATGTTTACATAAGAGTGGTCTAGTATTAAGAGTTAAGAAAGAAAAATCCAAAACAAGGGAAAAATGAGTGATCTTTAATTGCCAAGATTTAGTAAATGGCATTCTTTCTTCCTTCATCCTGACCTAAGTGTCCATTTCCAAACACTGTGTAATTGTTGTCAGTCCACTGAGTCAGCTCCAACTCATAGCAACCCTACGTACAACTTAATGAAATACTGCCCAGCCCTGTTCCATCCTCACAATCATTACTATACTTCAGCCATGGTTGCAACCACTATGCCAATCCATCTTGTTGAGGGTCTTTTCTTTTTTTGCTGACCCTCTACTTTACCAAGCATGATATGCTTCTCCAAGGACTGGTCCCTCCTCGTAACATGACCAAAGTATGAGAGACAAGCATGGCCATTCCTGCCTCTAAGGTGCATTCTGGCTGTACTTCTTCCAAGACAGATTTGTTCATTCTTTTGGCAGTCCACGGTAATTTAAAATCTTCTCCACCAACACCACAATTCAAATGCATCTGCAGTCTTCCTTATTCATTGTCCAGGTTTCACATGCATACAAGGCTACTGAAGAGGCAATGGCTTGGGTCAGGAGTATCTTAGTCTTCAAAGTGACATCTTTGCTCTTTTTCTTTTACACTTTTGCAGCAGATTTACCCAGTGCAATATGTCATTTAATTTTTCACTGTTGCTTCCAAGAGTGTTGATTGTGGATCCAAGTAAAATGAAATCCTCGACAACTTCAATCTTTTCTCCATTTATCATTATGTTGCTTATTAGTTCAGGATGAGTTTTTTATGTTGTGGTGTAATCCATACTGAAGGCTGTGATCTTTCACCTTCATCAGTAAGTGTTTCAAGCCATTTTTGCTTTCAGCAACCAAGGCTGTGTCATCTGCGTATCTCAGGCTTCCTGCAATGTGTTCTTCTTCATATAGTCCAGCTTCTCAGGTTATTTGCTCAGCATATAGATGAAAAGTATGATGAAAGGATACAACCCTGACACACACCTTTCCTGATTTAAAACCACACAGTATCCTCTTGTGCTGTTTCAATGACAGACTGTTTGTTGGTCTGTGTACAGATTCCTCATGAGCACAATTAACCGTTCTGGAATTCCCATTCTTCGCAATGTTATCCATAGTTTGTTATGATCCAACAGGCGGATGCCTTTGCATCGTCAATAAAATGCAGATAAACATCTTTCTGGTTTTCTTTGCTTTCAGCCAAGATCCACCTGACATCGGCAATGATATCTTTTGTTCCACAGCCTCTTCTGAATCCAGCTTGAGTTTCTGGCAGTTCCCTGTTGATATACTGCTATAACCGTTTTTAAATTATTTTCAGCAAAATTTTACTTGCATGTGATATTAATGACTTTTTTTGATAATTTCCACATCTGGTTGGATCACCTTTCTTGGAATGGAATATGGATCTCTTCAAACAGTTGGCCAGGTAGCTGTCTTCCAAATTTCTTGGGATAAACAAGTGAGGCTTCTGGCGTTGCATGTTTGTTGAAACATCTCAATGGATATTCCATCAGTTCCTGGAGCCTTGTTTTTCACCAATTCCTCAGTACAGCTTGAATACCATCGGTTCTTGATCATATGCTACCTCCTGAAATGGGTGAATGTTGATCAATTCATTTTGGTACAGTGACTCTGTGTATTCCTTCCATCTTCCTTTGCTATTTCCTACATCTTTCAGTATTTTGCCAAAAGAATTCTTACCCCTGGCTTATCTTTTGGAGTATGTGAATTTTAATATACATATACCAAACTACTTTTAAACTTGTACCTTAAAGCTTTTTATTTTTTGGTCAATTTTTATGGAAATGTTGTTTTAGAGGAGAAATCTACTAGAGAAGAGGTTTGTGTGTTAAGTCTAATGTTAGCAACTCTAGAAACATTGAAAGTAATGAGGCTAGTCAATCAAAATTTCCTTGGAGCATGTTTACAAGTAAACTTTATACTAGCATCTAGAAAGCCCCAAAGGAATAAAACAATTTTTGTTGCCTTCTCAGGCAACTTGATCAGAGACATGATATAAACAAATTAAAACAAATTTAGATAAGTTAATTGATACACATATGTAAGTGCTGTTTTGGTTACCCAGTGCCTCTCTGACAGGAATATATCACAAATGGGATGGCTGAACAAATGGGAGTTTATTCTCTTACAGTTTGGAGGCTTTAAGAAGCCTCTCAACCTTGGGCTTTAGCTCTGCCTCCTGCTCCCGGCCCACTGAAGCTAGAGACTTTTCTTTACTCTAACAGCTGCTGACTGCTGAGGCTGCCCAAGCCCAAGGTTGACAAGTAAAATGGCACAGTCCCAATGTTACCAAATCACACAGCAGGCCATTAATTCAAATCCACTGAAAGTCCCAAGGTTGGCGAGCATAGCAGGCTGCTGAACAAGACACAGCTACATGTAGGGTTCAAGTGTCCCATAAGCTAGAGGCCGTTCCCCAAGGCTTCTCCTTATATACAGGAAGCAGTCCACATCCTAAGGCAGCTACTCAGCTGCTCACAGTAGATTCTACCATGGAGTTTACTACCAGTCTCATCATGGGGAATACTACATCCAGCTGCCCAGCCACTCAACCAGGCCCAGCCAAGCTGACATGTAAACTTAACCATCATAAGCACTAAATAGATTTCGGAGTAACGCATCCTGGTAATGTGGCATAGTGCCTATGGCATCTGACTGCTAACCAGAAGGCTGGCAGGTCAACCCACCAGTCACTCCTCAGAAGGAAGACTGGGCAATCTACTTCCTCAGAGATATCACCTCGGAACTGACTTGACAGCAGTGAGTTTGGCTTGGAATGTAAGTTTGGAAATGCTACTTGAATGGCTCAAGTGAGATCAGCTTGAAAAGAAGTAGTCCTATTGGACAAGGTAAGAAAGGAATTCAGATAAGCACGAAACATAGAGCCTGTGGGTATGGATTCAAACTTTCAAAAGCTATGTGTAAAACTGGTTTCATCAGTGGTTACCTGGGTAGGAGGGAAGGGGAAGAGGGAAGCTTTTGTTTGAGGGGCACTGAGTTTATGCTAACAGATGGTGGAACATTTCGGAAAAGGACAGCAATAATGGTGGCACAACATGAAAAATGCAATCAATGACCCTGAGCTGTAAACATGGAAGTTGTTATGTTGGTGAATGTCTTGTTGTGTATGTTTTCACCAAAATAAAAGTAAAATTAATTAAATAAATAAATAAAACTGGTTTCAGGCTTCCTCCATCTCTTCCCCAAAGGATAGAAGATCGTGTCAATATTTAATACTTCAACTTTTACGGAGGAATAAGGTTATAATGTGTTTAGAACAGAATAGCCAGACATGATGCAATATTTGAAGATATAAAACTGTTTAAAAATTAATAATTAATAAAGAAGCTATTAGGAGCTCTGGTAGCATAGTGCCTAAGGCACTTGACTGCTAACCAGAAGGCTGGCGGTTCAAACCCACCAGCCACTCCTCGGAAGGAAGGTTGGGCAATCTGCTTCCGTAGTGATACTGCCTCAGCAACCCAAGGAGGGGTCGCTATGAGTCGGCATTCTGATCATGCAGGGTCAAAAAGACAGACTGCATGTAAACCTCTCATAGGTGGAAAAAGTCTTATTAACTTGGAGAGAACCACAACAACAACAACAAAGAAGCTATTAAGCTGGGAAAAATAAAATGAAAAGCATTTTAAAACACACACAAAAAAAATTCTGATCATCTCTTTAAAAAACTTTTTGGAAAAAA